ATCCCCCCCAAACTTAACTCCCAACCAATGTGGGACTTTGGCATTTTGCCAAACTTCAACAAGCTGATCCAGTGGTAGAAGAGAAAAAGAATATTTAGTGGGAATGGAATTTTGCAGCATCTACTGATGCAGTTGCAATTATCAGGCTGCTACTTATATTCCAATCTTGTCAACATATTTATAGCAGATGCAGTTGCTATTATTAGGCTGCTACTATATTTCTAATCTTTTAAAAATATTTTGTTTTCTTTTATTTTGGAAAACATTGTTTGGAAGAAAAAAGCATCTGAATTATTACTTCTCTTTGTACCGTCTGAGGATGAAACATATTACGAGTAGTTTCTTTTGGAGAATTAATTTAAAGCATCTTCGTTTTATTTGTGGCAACTTCCTTTGTAATTTTTTTGTTTTTTAAATTATATGCTACTCTTATCACATTTAAAATTAATTACTAGTACTGTATAATGTTAATACCAAACAAACCTCCCCAGCCTGAACTAATATGGATTAACCTTCCAAAGAAAATTGTCGCCGTTGACATCGATATTTTAATGGTGTTTTTTTCCCATCATATTCTAATGGTTTAGTACCTGGTCACTTCCTACTCTGTCGGATCATTTGATATTTTTAGAGTCACTAGACGTTCTTCCACAGGATCACTCTGAAGTACGTAAATTGTTCCTTTTACTTAGTAATATTACTCCTTCTACTCCATATTACACATTTTTCTTTAATCTGTAAAAAAGAAAGTCACATTTTTTTAAAAACTATTTCATATCAACATCTTCATTTTATTCTTGTACGGGTTCACTTGATATAAAAGTTTGTACGAAACAAATGAAAGCATGAGGTACTCTTACCAACTTTCATTTAAAAAGGTAATTTTGATACTATGCATATATTGAGATTATGTGTCAAAAATCTCCTTTTCTTTTTAAATTGTTTTGACAAAATACATCGACAACCTCTTAAAGTTGTCCATATTTTTCACTTAGACAATTTATCTTAAATTCGTTTCATTTGAACACTTCAATCACATCTCAAATGTGTCATTTAGACACAAAATTGATTGTCAGACAAACACAAAAGATGCGTGTTATGCACACGCCAGAATGACAAATAAGACAGGTACACATGGCTTTAAATTAAGTACTTTTGAAAAAAAAAGAAAATAATTAAAAGAAATCTAATTTACGGATGGGATGTATCGAAAGCACTGTTTCTTCACAGCGCACCAAGAGGCAGCGTTTCATCCTCAGACCTCAGTGCCTCCCGGCAAAGTCCCACCGGCAGCTTATACAGCCAGCACAAAGAGGTTCACGAGCCCACATGAGCAACGACAACAAACCGCTGCACATTCCGGCGGCGACCACCGCGAACTGTGCCATCTTTCGAACCCTCGTCCCGACGACGAATCTCAGCCCAATAAAAGTGGTTGTTGCCGCCGTTCCACCGATACAGCTGAATCTCCTCCTAATTCTCGAGACATCTTAGAGGAAATTGATCACGAACACCGACCACTACAACTCGTTCTCGTTTCTCCTCAAATAACCATAGCTAAATCCAAAAAATTCTCAGCAACAAAGTGGGAATTATGCTATTATCCCATCTGTTGGAATTAACATACCCATCTCTTCACAAACAGGCACATTTTAGAATTCCGCCATAGTCACTGAAATTATTTACACAACAACTTCACATCTGAAATGACCCATGTCTCGTGTCTGTTCCTAAGTATGGTTGTGCTTTGTGAAGAATATAATGTATATAAAGTGTAACCTTGTTTACATGCATGACATTTTTGTTGGATTAGTTAGTGTTTGATTTTGTCCATTGTCGGAAAAATAATGTAAAAAAGAAGTGTTTAAACGTACTTTTTTGTATTATATAGTTATACTAATATTTTAAAGGATGTTTTGGAGGGATATTAGAATTTGACTATATTCTTAATAGTCAAGATTGAGTACTTAGGCCAATTAAGTAGTCCATGATGGTAAGATTAAAAACGTTTTTTAAATTAATTTTTAAATTATCTTCAATATGTGACAACATCATGGTGTCAACTATATTTTTAAATTAATTTCACAAAATATTTTTTAACTTTTCTTATTTTAAATTCTGGTTCTAAAAGGTGCCTGTTTGTGAAGAGATGGGTATGTTAATTCCAACAGCAGAATTCCTCCATCTCTAAGAGTCTGTTGCTGAGCCACGAGAAATCACATGCATAAATACAAGAACAAATTAAAGAAAGGCATAGACTAGTATACTACAACGACAAAGAAAGCCATAAACATGGAGGAAATTATGGGGGAGATTTTAGTTGTGCCATTCTTTGGACAAGGCCATGTTTTCCCATTAACGGAGCTTTGCATGAAACTTTCCTCTTTCCGTTTCAAAACTACACTCATCATTTCTTCTGATATCTCCTCCTCCTTGCTCCGCCACCCATTCGTCAACGTCCCCGCCCCATTACCACCGCCTCCTAAACCTGGAAATTTTGATCCTCAGCCTCTTATGTTGCATTTCAAGCAAATGAGACTAGGCATGGAAACTATTTTAACAACCAGAGTCAAAAACAAGTGTGCAACTTCAGTTGTTTGTGCCATAGTTGACACCATGATGTTGTCACATATTGAAGATATTTTCACCACATTTCAGGTACCTAGTGACGGTAAGATCCTTTAGAAAGGGATTAAAATGCTTACATTAAGCCAATATCAATAACTTCTTATATAACAGTTGAAAATAATTAAATTGAAAATATATATACTCCGTATAGTTTCAGTTTATTTGACAACATTTCCTTTTTAGATGTTTCAAGAGAGAATAACAACTTTTTTAAATTGAAAATAATTTAACTTACAAGAAACTTTTATATCTACACAAATATGTTGGCTTGTTTCAAATCACAAGTTTAAAAAAAAATTGTTTTTTTTCTTCTTAAACTATGTGCTTATAACTTTGCCACATAAATCGAAACGAAGAAAGTATATACTTAATCATGGCTAAGTGATAAATTTATATATGTATGAAATATTGAATGTTTTAATTACATTCATAAATTTGATGTTAACATCGGAAAGAAGTAAAGTTTTAATTAGAAAGGGGTGTGGCTCACCATAAATTTTTTCTTATTTATATGTATGTGAACATATAAATTCAAAAAAATAATAATGTCGTCTATGTAGACAAATACTGCTTGAATATAATACTTTCAAAATAAATATACTCATCACTTTAGACATAAAGTAAATTAGGTAAAGTTTAAGACCAACATAATCATATCCACCTATTAGTCATGGTCATCACTTCTGCGTGCAGATACCTATTGTGGCTTTCTTCACTTGTGGCGCAGCTTGCCTTGCCATGGATTATGCTGCTTGGAAAGGCGATGCTGAATACATAAAACCGGGTGAAACCCGGTTTCTTCCGGGCTTACCTAGTGAAATGGCCATGGATTACGTTGATATTGTGAGGAGATTTAGCTCAGAGGAAGCATTTGGTGCTGAGATTTCACGTACAAAGAAGAAATCATTTCCGACACAACCTGGTGACGAGCCACCATGGGTGGAAGAAGAGTTGCGAAACCAGAAATTTTACTAATATAATATTCAAAGGTGTTTAAGAAGTAATATACACACATAGTACTACTATAATTTTCCATTCCCTAGTTGAGAAATGTGAATATTCCGACCTCGGTTGGGACAAAGGAATTCTGGAGGTCTAAGTATGAAAGTTCACTAAATAATTTTGAATAAGCAACATACATAGTATATACTACTCTAATATATTACTCGCTCTATTTTATTTTATGTGAAAGGGTTCAGACCGTGAAGATAAGCACTTAATTTTTTTATGTGAAATCGAGATAAATTCTTTAAGTTTTTTTAAATTAAATTTAGGAGAAGTACTACTATAAGTTAGCATAACTAAATTATTAAACTAATAAATTAATAAATTTAATTTTTAAAAAACTAATTAAAAATCATAACTACTAAAGTTCAAAGTAATAGCTGAAAAATTATAATTAAAAAATGATTAATTTTTCGATTAGTAATAGTGTCACATAAAATAGGAACTAAGAGATTGTCTGTGTTATTTCCCAAATCAAATAATATTTGTTAAAGAAAAGTTATTTTTACTTCTCAAATCCCTTTTTTTTCTCCAAACAGGTAAAGGTTACAGTTGCAATTCTTGTGAACACGTTCGTTGAACTAGAGCAACCATTCTTGGAATATTTAGCAAAACAAACAGGACTTCCAATTTGGGGCGTTGGCCCTCTGTTGCCTGAAAAATACTGGACGCTCACTGCCTCAAAATCTATTCTTCGCGATCGCGACATTAGAACAAATTCTAGTGAGAAAACAAATTAACTCAATTGGCTAGACTCAAAGTCTCCTAGTTCAATCATTTACATTGCCTTTGGTAGTGATGTTGTGCCCACTTTGGAAGAACATGAAGAAACAGCTTAGGCACTAGAAGAGAGTTCAAGGCAAAATTTCATATGGGTAATTTCCAAAAATCAAGATTATTATCCTAATGCCTTGGAAACTCAAGTTGGGAAAAGGGGTTTGATAATAAATGGATGGGCACCTCAATTGTTGATACTAAGTCATTCGTCGACAGGTGGATTCTTGACACATTGTGGATGGAGTTCGACTATGGAAGCGATTGGACAAGGAGTACCTTTATTGGCATGGCCTATTAGAGGTGACCAATTTTATAATGCAAAGTTGATAGTGTGTTATCTCAAAATTGGTCACATGGTATCATCAATTGGAGAAAATATTGGGTTGAAAAGGGTTAAGAAGGACGAGATAATACAAGGGGTTCAGAGATTAATGGAGGATAAACAAGTTCATAATCGAGTGAAGGATTTAAGTGAAAATTTTAGACGTGGTTTTCCAATTAGTTCAGCACCTTCTCTGCATGATTTCAAGGATTTTATTATGCAAGCAAAGTGAAGAGTGGAGGATGTTGAGGGTTTTGTCTGTGCTCTATAGAGTACGCTATCTTCAATTGATTTCTTAAGTCAACATTGAACCTAAATACTCCCAGCATCTATTTAATAAAATACTTCGTACCCTGATGTCATAATTTTTTTGTATCGATCCACATTTATAGTACCGTTCTTGCTAGTAAATTGTCTCGTATTTGCTACTTATAAGTTCTTTGAGATCCATATATGTATACCTTCATTTCTGATTATGATTTAAAATTATCCTTGTATTGAAGCTCTATATATTAAAGCTCAATGATAAAAAAAAATCAAACTAGAGTAATATGTATCAAAAGTTGCTCCATTTCAAGCAACAAGTTTGACCATTAATTTTTCTTATATTTATGAGCTTATGTCCTTTTATCTTCTGCAAATGCTTTATGTTCATGTTCGTTTCTTATCAATTTCTATATATCTCACTTATTTTGTTCTACTTAGCCAAAAAAAAAATCCTTGTGCATAAAAATTGACCATCTCATTAGGATTTCCTCGGGAATACAAGACGATCCTTATTAAAATCAAGTCAAAAAAAGACTTCAATTTTTTTCATTATTACTCTATAAAAGATCGTTTTGTCATACTATTCAATAAACGTTGACATAATACGCATGAATTTCAGTGTTGTAGATGTGTACTGCATGTGATGTGAGAGGTGTTACGTACCTTAGAGTTGGAGAAAATGACAAAGTAGTAAGAATAGAAAAGGAGAGTACCATGCGTGAGGTAACCGAATTTGTTAGTGNTATATTACAAATTTGTAGCTCTCCATTATAAAAGGCTAACAACCTAGTCATACAATTATATACAATGCATGATTCTGCAAGAAACACAACGTAACATGCTTTATACAACTGAAACACAAACTTGGGCGACTCTAGTAAATTAGCAGTACAAGCATGTGATGTGACAGTCATGTTACCTAAAGCATAACCATTAGTACCAGTAACTAGTAATTGTCCGTAAAAAGTGGTATTAGTTGTTTTTGTCAAAAATAGCTCGTTGTAGAGGTTTTTTTGGTATTTTTTTTCCAACTTAAAAAGTTCAACTTCTTGTGAAAAAATCAAAATTTTGAAACAGACATCATTTTCTAAATATAACTTTACTTCTTGCAAATAATTAGGCAAGAAAAACGTCACCAAAAGATAAACAACTTTCCAGTTAAGGAAACTTAAGCACAGAAAATATGCTAGCCTTTCCCCAAGAACCAAGAATAAAGCCAACTATTTGTGTAAACGGTAAATTTGGCCAGCTATTTTGTGTAAAAATCCCTTAAATTATAATGATAATGTAAACTATTAGGGTATTTGAGTTCAATCCTATTGAATAAGTCGCTGAAACTTGGAATCCTGTAAGTGAAGACAGGAAAAATAAATTAATTTTTTATTTAGCAAACTTGGGCTGGTCATATTGTCTCACTCCCAGGCCCCAGCTGAAACAGCAAAATACATTTATTTTTGTTCATACATATAGCAAAACTTGGGCTGCACTTGTTTTTTCAACCATCTCACTTAAAATTGTTGAAAATCCACCACAAAGACATGCAATTATATCAGGATTTTCCAGCAACCAAAAAAAGTACATAGCTCATACAAGCAGAGGTTACTTTGTCACTAACAATACATGTTCCTGAGTACAGCACCAGACACTGATTATTTCGATGGTAGGATCTTTCAAACATCTGCATCCAATACAAAACCAAAAGTCATGGCTCAAGGCGATAGAATGCAACTTTAATTGAATAAACAGGTTGCCCAAGGATGTTAACTCACCATTTGGGGAACAAGAACTCCTTGAAAAGGATTCGGACGGAGCCATAGGAATGGATATGGACAGCTGAGTAGAGGAGAAATTATTTTTGATAGATCCCTCGTCATCAAGATTGGACCACGATTCCTTAGCTGTAGGCCATTCGTCAAAGAAAGGGCGCATAGAACGCTCCTCCTGCTTTACAGTCCCAGGAGAGCCTATGTCACTATCAAAAAAGCAATGTTGCTGCTGTTTCGAAATAGTTGCATCAATCATAGGCTCAAATGGATGTGGCAGTCGTGTTTGAGGCGAGCCATATAGCAACTGAGTCTCATTTTTTGGTTTCACCATGGGGTTTGAGGGAAGTTGTGGTGTTAAACACCATGTGCTGTCTGCATTAGATCCCATCCCTAAACTTCTCATACTAGCTGAAGCTTCTAGAGAGAAATTCTGCTCATCAGCATCAGCAGCCATTCCATGGAAATATCTGTGTTGGCATTTTGCATTTCATTAATGTGGATGTTACACCACTTATAAGACAAGTGCAGCTCGTTTTGCTATATCAAAAATCAAATGAATTTTGCCAATCTTTCAGTTGGAATGCAACAATTACTTTTGGATATTCCAGTTTAAGCAACATTGTTAGTATTTCGTAGCAAATCATGTAGTCTAGTTTCAAGTACCCAGATGACTATTGGCCAAGTCGGCCCTAATTATTCTGGGTTCTTGTGGTGTTACATCACTTATTACTCCGAAGAAGTCTATACCACGTAGAATACTTTTGGTGGAAGGTTTGGATAATCATCATTTAAACAGAGTATCACTTACCAGATCATTAGATCATAGTTAGACATAAAAGATCATTGTGTAGCCTGAAACATTGTACAAACTTTGATCACTAAATTCTGTTTATATGCACATATGTGAATAAACAAATACACCTATTGTCTTGTTAGATCTATTTATGACTTAATATAGAGATCTGTATTCAACATTATTCTGTCTTGTTTCTTGTCTATTATACAGCATAAGATGAGACTGCAAGATCATGTGCCATCTTTTCTCTCCTGCGTTCGAGTATTGCTCTACCTTGTAAGCAATAATGACGTACAATAGCGAATCCATTAGCATTAAATATTTTATGCATATTCAAAATGGGCAATGAAAACACGCATCAATGAATTCCAGAGCTTCTTGAAGCCCCTTCAAGTTATGCTCAGATATTACAATTTCTTAGGTTAGGTATTGACCTTCAAATCAGACATAACAATTAAAATAACAATACTCATCTAATTGCAGCTATGACCATCTCTCATGTAGTCTTCCAAATATTGAAGAACTTAAATGCCCCCAACTACGAAATTATCGAGTCCCTGGCCTAGTACAGCTCACTCCAGATTCCGGGTATCTTATGGCCTAATATCTCTCTTATTTAACTTTTGCCATTCTCTAACCTATTTAGAAATCCAGTCACAATGTTTCTTAGTGACCAAACTCTGTGAGTCCAAAAAATATCATCTACTTCTTTCTGCAGTTCCACTTCTACTATTGATCAAGCCCCTGAAAATTCAAACTGAACGCTCTCATATTCTGAGACAACCTATTACGCGGTCGAAGCTGCTTGCTGTCCTTGGAACAGCTGAAACTATCCTATCGAAATTAGGCACTATATAATAATCTTGGTGCACATATAATAGTCCTTTTTTAAGACAGGAAAAATTGGCAGACATGATCATGGGTCACTTTCTGCAGTAATAGCCGCAAAATTGATGCAACTCTCTCTCAACAAGTTTTTACTGTGGTTCTTCAAAAAAGTAAATGATACTAAAAAGAAGTCCATACAAATTTTTCGCTGTCATTGCAATAATAACTTTTCAGAATAGTAAGAAGAGCTAATGTGATAAATTAACTCCAAGTATTTTTGGTCGACTAAGAAAGAAATGGAGAAAGGAAATCTACTCCCCCTTCAAAGTTCTACAGAACAGAAAATTAGAAGATTTGAACCCTCAAGTCCTATCAAGCAAACAACAGGATGACAGAAAAGATAATATCATGATTATTGATATGCCCTTAGTGTTGTGGGATTATACTGGGATGTTGTTGTTGTTGTTAGTGCTCACTACAAAATTTTGTTATTAAACCTTTGCATATAAGATTATTTGGAACTCGAACTATTTCACAAGGAAATAGGGAAAATTTGTATTTCAGCAAGAAGAGTATGACCTATTTGTCATCCTTACAAATGTAAAAGATTTGAGTGTACCATTTTTATATTTACTCAGCAACAGAAACACAGATCATACACGCAAGCCTTTTCACATGTAACCAGTATTTGAACATCACCAAGTACAGCCAAAGACCAAACTTTTACCCAACATTGTATAAGTCATTCAAGGAAGATCTCATTTAAGTAACAGAACTCCAACTGCTTGAAAAAATAAACAAGTACATCAGAGAAAAAAGCATCTAAAGAAAACAAGAACCATAGAGGACAAAGAGACTTTACCTATATGCCTTGTTATCTATCCCATAGGAGACAGGCTCCATCTGCATCTTCGTTCCAGTGCTTCCATAATTCGGTCCTTCTGAATAAGCAGCGGAATATAATGGCATGTTCTGTAAGCTTCCGCTGCTGCTACTTTGGAAATTTCCACTTGTTTTGCTGCTTCCAGTAGCATTGTTCGACATACTAGTCAACAAGGACTGGGAAGTAGATTGAGATTCCACATGCTTTCTTGAACGGTTGCGGCCTCGATTCATGTGCCGCTCGCAATATTTTGAGTCAGGATACGCGTCTTTGGAGCACCTCCACTTCTTTCCATCTGTCCTTCTACACCTTCCTGGCTCAGGGTCAAACTTCTTTCCATAATAGGAACAATAACCCACTGACCACAGAAGATAAAAATTAATAAGTTCCATATTTAGAAAACAGAGTATGGCTGCAACACCTCTCCCTCAAACCCCTAAAAAGATGAACTTTATACCAAAACAAGAAAATATTTTACTACATTTGGTTGGCCATTCCGCAGTCAGAAGCCCAACAGATAGGAGTTATACCAGAACAGAGACTGAAACTTATTCACTTCACAGACATTGAGATATAATGCAGCCTATAAATTAGAAATTATGCATAAAACCAAAATAAACACCAAATGAGCCTCTGGAAATCAATAACATGATATCTCTTACTGTTTTGTGAAACAAAAGAAAAAAAGATATAGTCCACCACTAACCATATTCATTTAGATTACATTAGTAACCTACTTAAAATCAAAAGAGACTTATCCTACGGTCCTACCCAATAAATAAAAGAGAGAAATGTTTCTCTAGGACTGACTAATTACAGAAATAAGCTGAAATGAATAGATCAGTAAATGTCCAAACAAGAAAACAGAATGAGGAGAAACAAATTGTAAGGGCTACTAATGATTGTACTGCCTTAACAAAAATATTAGACCAAAAAAAGTGGAAAGCAATTTTCTTTATCTGCATATGCTCCAATTTCCCTATCAAAGCATGGTAAACTTACCTTTCAGAAATGCAGACATTTCCAACACACTGCTTAACTGAAAGAAGCTAAAAGAATTAACTATTGATAAATGAGCAAATTAACTTACAAAATGAAGAGCGGAACGTTTTTACTTAAAATGAGAAAAAAATGGATCTTCCTCAGAATGGGATTAAGTTTTTAAACCCATTGCATTTTTAAATTATGGATTCAAAATTTAATACTATTCCATAAATTTTAGTTTTTTCCTTGCGAAACTCGGGATAATGGGCTCGTCTCTCTACCCTTTAGCTTGACCCCATCTGTTATCAACTATTCACCTATTTTTCAGTATGAATTGATTCTCCACTTAAATATCAGGCTTAGTTTGTATAAGTCACCCGTCCGTCAACCTTTGCCACTTGAACTAAGCCTTCTAATTTGTATAAACACACACACAGAGTGTCGAACAAATACTAGTTTGCCCACTGAAATAAGATCCATCCGCCTCTGGACTCTGAACCTAGGTGGGCAAAGTTACTGGATAATTGTACTGGTGAGAGGATGCAAATGACGATGAAATATCCGAGGTACATGGAAGCTGGTCCGCACCACCATTATGAAAAAAATAAAAAATAAAATGAGAATTACTAAAAGAAGAAAGAGAAACATACAGCTAGTATGATGGAAGAACCTCGCAGAGATGGCTTCAAAGCTACGTCGTATAGGTACAACAAGGTCCGGAGGCACAGGAATACCCGCCACTAAGTACTTATAGATCATTGCTTGATGCTCCAACTCCTGCCATTGCACCGCCGTGAACGGCGGCCTGTACCCATCCTCCGCCACCGTCCTCATCGTAGTCCCACTCATATTATCCACTTCACAAGAAAGAAAAAAGAAAAAAAGCTGCACCCAGAAATTAGCACAACTGCAGTTAATATAAAGTTGGTTAAGTGTGTGTGTGCGGGTTTTTTTTTTTGGTGTGAGTTATAGAGGGCAAAGGTTGTTGGAGTTACCTAAGAGGGGGACAGATCTAGGGTTACAAACATTGAAAGAGATCAGAATGAAAAAAGCTGGAAAAAACAGCTAAGTGAGAGAAGTACAGAGTAGAGAACAGATAGTACACTTCATTATATTAGCTAGTAAGTACTTCCATTATTACTCTAACGGAGAACTTTAAGGTTTGAAATTGTGTTTAGCAGAGTTGTAAGAGGAGTTTTGGCAAAGTTAATGAAGAGTTTAAGGTTGAGAGATTGAGGCTGAAGGAAGCATTGGGACATGGGAATAAATTGGTGGGGTTGAAGAAGAAAGGCTGATGTGGGGACCTAACAGAGTGGGGGTGGGGGATAAATTATGTCTTCTTGTGGTCCATTGATGTAACAGCTCCTTCTTCTCTATTTTCAAAAAATGGTCTTCTTTTTTTTTTTGGCTTCTCATACCATGTTCTTTGTCCACTTTCAGACTATGACTAATTCAGATTTGGATCGAAAAATTTCAATTTAGCTAAAAATTAGTACCTTTCAAAGATAATTTTATTTTAAAGTTTAAAATAGTAATCTCTAATTAAAGATAAATGAGTATCTATCGTCACACCATGATCTGAGTAGTTCAAGAAATATCATGTGATAGTATCATGAAACCAAACTACCAATCATTTAAACTTTGTTCTTAAGGTTCCGTAATTATTACGGATGATTGACTACAAAAAGATCAATTTGTAGTAGCAATCTTTTTCCCTTTGCAGATTTTGTTTGAGTGAGGAGGGAAATGTCTTGTAACTGAAGTCCTGAAATTCAGGGGCTGAGTACTTTTCACATTTAAGTTTCTTCCATGTGATGAAGTTTACTTTGGTTGCTGGTGACCATTGTGTCTAACTTCCTGTATTATTGTTAAAGAAAAGTATCTTAACAAACGGAAATTTAAGAGGATCAAGTTTTAATAAAAGTAAAAAATAGATGTGGGAGAAAATTTATATCTATATTTATATATACATAATAAAGCTGGAAATAATAGTGATGACTTGGCACTTTTCTTAGACCAAGAAATTTATTTATCTTTTTTCCCCTTTTTTTACTTTTTAATTTTTCATATTCAATTGTTTAGGCCTCTTTAATGTCTTAGTTCCATGTTCTCGCAACATTAAGTATGCAAAATTGTGCCAGTTATTATTTTCAGTTTTCTAATTATTAAATTGAATTGAATGATGCAATAAAAGAAAAAAGAAGTGACTGATCACTCATGTCTGTTATGTTACTATAACGATCCGACTGGTCATTTTGAGTATTTGCACTTCGCTCGGTAATTTAGAGTCAAACTCTGTGTTTCGAACCTTTAGAGCCTCATTCTAGCCTTCCTTTATTTGCGTGCGCAGTCCGAGTATTGACCCGGGAAGCTTATATGCAAAAAAACTAATAAAAATAAGAATTTTTGCCTAAAACGTTAATTTTAGTTGATTTCAATCAATGTTTTGAATAAATAAATGGACCCGGACCCATATTTTGACGGTCTCGGCGGGTCCGTATTGAAATATGGGATCTGGACGTATGCCCAGAATCGAATTCTGAGGTACCTAACTTGAGTTATGAATATTTATTAAACATTAAAAGTCTAAAAAATCTAATGTTTTTAAGAATTGATTGAATATTTGGCATTGTTGATATTGGGTTTGTATTTTGGTTACGGAGCCCGGTACAGGTCCAATATAATACTTTTGACTTATCTGTGAAATTTGGTGGGAAACGGAGTCGGTTTGACGTGATTCACGTCCGGTGGTAAAAATAGAGATTTCAAAGCTTTCTTGAAAATTTCATTTGATTTGGTATCCAATTCGTAGTTCTAAGTGTTATTTTAGCAATTTAATCGCTCGAGCTAGTTCGTATGATGTTTTTAGACTGGTGTGCACTTTTGGTTTGGAGTCCCGAGGGGCTTGGGTGTATTTTTGGATCAATGGTTGAGAGACTAGTAAAGTTAAGAAACTTTGGGATTTTTACCATGGTCAATATCGGGTTAAGGCGACCTCTTTTCAGTGTTTTGAGTGCACGAGCAGGTCCGTAACATGTTTTATGATTGAAATTCATATATGATTTGTGTCTGGGAGGTTCCGAATGAGTTTTGGGGTGGTTTCAGATCATTTCGGAGAAATTGGGTTTTGCTAGTTTCTGGTGCGACACTATTCATTCGCAATTGCGAACCTTTTATGGCAATTGCACAAACACTGCTCATCCGCAATTGCCAACCATTTTATGGCAATTGCGAAAACATTGTTCATTGGTAAATGCGAAGTTTTATTCGCAAATGCGACACCTACAACTTGTTAAGTGTTGAGAATTCCGAGTTTTTGCTTTATTTTTTCATATTTTTGAACCCTAGCTTCGAGGTGAGGCGATTTTGAGAGGGGATTTTCATGCCAAATCATTGGGTAAGTATCTTTAATCAATTTTCAACTATATTTCATGATTTTATACAAGATTTAACATCAAGTTCATAGGAAATTTATGGAAAAATTTGGGGATTTTGTCAAAGTTTTAAAAAATAAAAATTTGAGATTTGGGAGTCGAATAAGACTCAGATTTGAAAATAAAAATACATATTTGGACTGTGGGGCTATGAGTAGTCAAGACCTACCTTTGGACCCGAGTTTTGACCGGGTGGGCCCGGGGGTTGACTTTTATTGACTTTTTAGAAATTGAATAAAAAACATAGCTTTATTAATTGAAATTATTTTTTCTTGCATTGTGTGGTGTATTCAAGTTGTCATTGGCTAGATTGAGTCGAGCGGAGGTGAATTTGTAGAGGAAAAGGCTAAGTTGAGTGTTGAGTTAGCCGGATTGAGTTAAGTGTTTTCCCTAGCTTTGTTGAGGGAATTTTTCCTCCTGTTTGTCATTGTTTGCTACATGCGGGGGTGATACATATATAAGATGACGAGCATATATGTATGTGCCAGGGTTAATCATGCTCGGGAGGTGGATTATATTATATTTGTGTTTGTAGAATTTTGTGACATTCTACTTAATGCCTTGTTTGACTCCTATATACTAAGGACATAATATTAAATGATAGATATCAAGACTTAGTTTGTTATAACTTGATCAAACTTGATGGAAATTGTAAGAATACATTGATGTGTTTAATAAGGTCATCTCTATGTGAAATCATTACTACATTACTACAACCGAAGTTCTTGAGATGTTAGGCTCTATACTTGTGTTGTGGATCATTTATGAGATTCTTGGAAGTATTTGAATAATATGGTTCTTGAGGGTTGTTGAACCATTGTTGACTTGGAAAGTTGTGATTTAGAATGTGTTTGGAATATCTGTTTAAGCACTCTCCTTGATATTATTTGTGTTTCCTGCCTTATTTGTCATTGATACTCATATGCTTGGTAAGAAAGAGTGTAAAGCACGAAGGGTGATGTCGTATCATATTATTGAGAGTAAAAGATTGAAGGGATGTCGTGCCACATTATTGAGAGTAAAGCACAAAGGGTGATGTCGTGCCATATCATTTGAGAGTAAAAGCACAAAGGGTGATGTCGTGCCATTTCATTTGTATTGTTATGTTTGTATGTTATGGTGAGGTCATGGCACGAAGGGTATTTATGTGCAGGTGAGGACGAGGGACAAGCATTTGATGTGATATTTGTTTCCCATGTATACGGCTATGCCCCTTACCTTGAGCTGTTATTGTTGTATTTACATATTTGGGGTGACTTGTTGTTATTGTCTTGTACTTGACCTTTATCTCGATTGTTGTTGCATTGTCCATGTATTTTACATGCTTAACTTACAATTACCATGTCTATTTCTATGTTTATATTATATGTTGTATCTATTCTGTTGCACTTCAGTATAAGCCTTCCACTATACTAGCCATTCATGCCCTTACTTGTTAATTTGTAAAGAACATGTGTTTTACTCTTAATTGTTATATTTGTACTTTGGCCTCCAACATGCTAGTTAATTGAAGTTGATATTTCTTGTTTTTCAATTATTGTGGTTACTCATGTGCTTTCCGCTTAGTCCTTTACTGTGACCCACATATGTAACATTGTCCACTGTTGCTACTTGCGTATTTCCTACTTAGAAGTTTCGATTATTGTGTTCTTGTGATATGGTTGGTTCTGTTATACGATCAGTTGGGAAAGATGAGTTGAACGCACAAAGGGTGTTACCGTGCTAATGGAATTGTTACATAATTTCATTTATACATGGTGAGGATGAGATAAAAGCATGAACGGTATTATCGTGCCATGTGATTTGACATTTTGACATTTTTGACATATATCTCATACCAGGAAAGATTGTAAATATTCTATTGTGGTTCTTACAGTATTCATTGTCTGACTCGCCTGGTTGTATTTGATACTTTTATCCGTTATACTTTGAACTGCTTTACTGTTTATCTAATGTACAGGTTATTTAAATAAGCATCTTTTTAACTAAAAGCCTCATCAATACTTCGACGAGGTTAGACAAAATATCTACCAGTACATGGGGTCGGTTGTACTGATACTGCACTTCTGCACGTCCCGTGCAGATTTTGGAGCGGAGTTGCTAGTGACGTCGGGTGCTGATTCAAAAGATGTTCGTGCATTTGGATATAACTGCCACTTGTCCTTGGTAGTTTAGATTATTGCTAATCTGTTTATGTAATCTTCAAACAGAACGTGTATTTAATTGTATTAGTTTTGAAGTTCCAAATCTTAGAAGCTCGTGATTCGTACTACCTGGTCTTGGTAAATTTGTAAATGTTCAGTTATCTATTTTCTATCCTCTTATA